CTTGAATCCTGTGCCCGGGTCTGCAAAAGGCGTGTACCCGGGCACAGGATTCCAAAACCGGACTGTCCGGGTCATTCACGTACGGGTGGCAACCCTACTGGGGAGAGAGGATGGACTGCCCCAGTTATTGCTTTCCTTGTCATGTGACATATCACATGACCAGAGACAGGAAGAAGGAGAAGCTGCCTTCTTCCCATTGGACATCTTTTCAATTCATGTCGTATTTGCTATATCTGGGAAATTGCCGGCTGTCGCTTGGAGAAGCCGTCTTTTTCGCTTGAGTTACCAGCTTTCCGGGTGCCAGGCTCAGTTCTGAGGTAATTTACAGTGACTGACAGCATGAAAACCTGCATCCTGTAGCAATTTACACAAGTGCGTGTTTACTTACCAGCTGCATAATCCCAAAATAGGACATTAAATATCCGGCTGTCGCGGCATTAAGGCCAAAGAAGTCAACGGAAATGATGGGGAACATGAGCATGAAGACACCTGCCGAGACACAAGGTATGAGAAATGGAAGCTTCTACTTGAACAGTGACTTGGAACTTACACAGGGCTGAGGAATCTCTCCCCGCCCCCAAGTAACATCGCTGGGTACCCAAATAGCCAATCACCAAGCGCTATCATGTGGAGTAAAGGGGAGTGAGTCACATGATTACCCCGCTTGCCTGAGCAGAGCAGCCTTTATAAGTGTTGCAAGTACATAAAAGTACCCGCTGATCTTCCAGAAATCCTGCGAGCTCCTAACTTCCTGTTTGGGATGACAACACATTGCCTCTATTACACTGAAATTCCAACCAGTGTTGTCAGCCCCACCTACTGAACTGCAGAACTCTGCCAGTCCCTCCGGCCCTCACAGACCCTTTCCACATGCACACATTGATTTCTTTCCCATCAAAGCGATGCTGATGCCTTGACTTTCTAGACCCCGCCCCCGTGTGTAAGGAAAGAGCTCTTGCGAGATGTAGCTCTGGGAGATGTGCCTACTTTAATATAAAATTATGTCACAGGAAGTAAAAAATGTTGCATATTGCTACAGGAACATAGTAAAAACTAGGGATGCATCGATACCGATACTAGTATCAGTATCGGTGCCGATGCCGAGTATTTAGGCGAGTACTCGCCGAAATGCTCCCATGCCTAGCCCGATACCGGTAATAGGAAGCAGGTCACCTGTAATGGGAGAGCATGGAGCCGGCTTCCCGGCCAATCAGGAAGCCGGGCAGCGCGTCATTACACGCTGCCCGGCTTCCTGATTGGTCAGAAGCTGGCCAATCAAGAAGCCAGGTGTCCTGTTATGACGTGGAGCCCGGCTTTCTGACGAGAGGCCGGCTTCATGCTCCCTCATCACCTCATGGCAAGGGAGCATGGAGCCGGCTTCCTGGCCAATCAGGAAGCCAGGCGCTGCGTCATTACACAGCGCCCGGCTTCCTGATTGGACAGAAAGCCGGCTCCATGCTTTCTCGACACCTAGTGACGAGAGGCATGGGGATGGCTTCCCTTCTAATCAGGAAGCCACGTGGCGAGTCATTACACGCCGCCTGGCTTCCTTAAAGGTACTTCCGGTACTCGGGAATTCACTATCGGCGAGTACCGGGAAAAAAAATATCGGTACTCGTACTCGATACAGAAATACCGGTATCGGTGCATCCCTAGTGACAACAAATAAAATGTTGGGACTTGATCTAGAACAGGGGTAGCCAACCGCGGCCCTCCAGCTACTGTGGAACTACAAGTCCCATTAAGCATTGCAAGACTCCTACAGCCTCAGGCATGACTCCCAGAGGCAGAGGAATGATGGGATTTGGAGTCTTACCACAGCTGGAGGGCCAAGGTTGCCTACCCTTCATCTAGAGGGGGGATGGGAGGGTAAATCTGAGCCATGCCTGGACAGGAAACTCTATTCAGTTACTTTGTTTCACACGGTTGCAGTTTTTCTATAATGATATATTGTATATTTCGTAGTTTCTATCTTTTGTTCTCATCGATTATTACCAATTGGGAATGCCGAGACGACCTTCACTATGAACACCGGCAGCACCCCGGGATAGTTCAAGAGCCTGAGCAGTTCCCCGAGGCTGAAGACGCTGGTGGACTTGGGTCTACCTGGAAAGGAAAGGGGCAGCTGGTGAGGAGGGAGGAGATTCCCAGGATGATACGATCGGGCCCGGAGTCATTAACGTGCAATAACAACGCCTTACTTTGTTCGGCGGCGGGCTTGCCTTGCGATTTTTTGGTTTGTACCGGTATGTAAATGAAAACGATGACACAGCAGACGAGACTGGCAGCCAGGGCGATGAAGGAGGGCGTGGACAGCCTGAGAACACAAAGGGTGCACGTCAGCATGGAGTCTGCTCATCATTAACAGCAATTAGGTCTCTATCATATGTCACATGTTCAATTAGAGTTCATGGTATCAAGGGGACCTGTCACTGAGCACTTTACTTCCCAGGCAAGGGGACCTGTCACTGAGCACTTTACTTCCCAGCCAAGGGGACCTGTCACTGAGCACTTTACTTCCCAGCCAAGGGGGCCTTTCACTGTACACTTTACTTACCAACAAAGGGGACCTGTCACTGAGCACTTTACTTCCCAGCCAAGGGGACCTGTCACTGAGCACTGTACAGTTACATTCTGAACCAAGGGGTCCTGTCACTGTACACTTTAGTTACCAACAAAGGGGATCTGTCACTGTACACTTTACTTCCCAACAAAGGGGACCTGTCACTGTACACTATACTTCCCAACAAAGGGGACCTGTCACTGCACACTATACTTCCCAACAAAGGGGACCTGTCACTGCACACTATACTTCCCAACAAAGGGGACCTGTCACTGCACACTATACTTCCCAACAAAGGGGACCTGTCACTGCACACTTTATTTCCCAGCCAAGGGGGCCTGTCACTGTACACTTTACTTACCAACAAAGGGGACCTGTCACTGCACACTATACTTCCCAACAAAGGGGACCTGTCACTGCACACTATACTTCCCAACAAAGGGGACCTGTCACTGCACACTATACTTCCCAACAAAGGGGACCTGTCACTGCACACTTTATTTCCCAGCAAAGGGGGCCTGTCACTGTACACTTTACTTCCCAACAAAGGGGACCTGTCACTGCACACTATACTTCCCAACAAAGGGGACCTGTCACTGCACACTTTATTTCCCAGCCAAGGGGGCCTGTCACTGTACACTTTACTTACCAACAAAGGGGACCTGTCATTGCACACTTTACTTCCCAACAAAGGGGACCTGTCACTGTACACTTTAATGCCCGAACCAAGGGGACCTGTCACAGTGCACTTTACTTCCCAACAAAGGGGACCTGTCACTGCACACTTTAATTCCTAACCGAAGGGGACCTGTCCCTGTACACTTTAGTTCCCAACAAAGGGGACCTGTCATTGTACACTTTAATTCCAACAAAGGCGGACCTGTCACTATACACTTTACTTCCCAAGAAAGGGGACCTGTCACTTCACACTTTACGTCCCAACAAAGGGGACCTGTCACTGTACACTTTATTTCCCAACAAAGGTGACCTTTCACTGTACACTTTACTTCCCAACAAAGGGGACCTGTCACTGTACACTTTACTTCCCAACAAAGGGGACCTGTCACTGTACACTTTACTTCCCAACAAAGGGGACCTATCACTGTACACTTTACTTCCCAACAAAGGGGACCTGTCACTATACACTTTACTTCCCAACAAAGGGGACCTGTCACTGCACACTTTACTTCCCAACAAAGGGGACCTGTCACTGCACACTTTACTTCCCAACAAAGGGGACCTGTCACTGCACACTTTACTTCCCAACAAAGGGGACCTGTCACTGTACACTTTATTTCCCAACAAAGGGGACCTGTCACTGCACACTTTACTTCCCAACAAAGGGGACCTGTCACTGTACACTTTATTTCCCAACAAAGGGGACCTGTCACAGTGCACTTTACTTCCCAACAAAGGGGACCTGTCACCTGCACTTTAATGCCCAACATTCAGCTAAACAAGTGTTAAGGTTTATTCAGAGTCGCCTGTTGTTTCATTGGCCCCTTCTTTGTATCTCTGCACTGTGTCATATATTTTTATCTGCATGGACCTGGATGTTTATTACACAGAGTAATTTATTTATTACACAGAATATGTTTAAAAAGGATACTTTTATTGTTTGACGCTCCTTAAAACATACATAAAATTAATAACACATACTTTGCATACATAAAGTCAGCACATCTCCATCAATGTATGAGGAAAACGAAGATTGTCTTATTGGGTTTGAATGATCTGATAGGGACGTCTATCTCCTAGTCATATAATATGTCAAATCTACTTCTCCAGAGACAGAACTATCCAGAAATTGTTCCATAATTCATTATAAAATGATCCCTCATCTCCAGCTGTCATCCATTCTTATGGGCTATTACACTGAACCTCATGTGAACATTCACCGCTGATCACAAGCCTGTGGTACATGGCTGGGAAATGTCTGCAGTGCCAAGCAAGGATCTCTCCAGCAGACAACACTAGCGTTGCTGATTAAACGTTCCTCAATAACCGCAAACTCATCAATACAAAACCATAAATTGTTACAATCATTTTATTGTCAGTTAAGCTGAGTTATAAAATGTATTTCCATTGAAATATACCTCAGTCAAATTATTAAGTGGAAGTAGAGTCTACATTGTTATTACATTAGCTATACTATATGTATGTCAATCAGCTTATATCAGAACTCCGTCCTCCCCTTCAGTCTTATATCTGATCTCCGTTCGCCCCCCCAGTCTTATATGTAACCTCCGTCCTTCCCTTCAGTCTTATATCTGATCTCCGTTCGCCCCCCCAGTCTTATATGTGACCTGCGTCCTTCCCTTCAGTCTTATATCTGACCTCCGGTCGTCCCCCCAGTCTTATATGTGACCTCCGTCCTTCCCTTCAGTCTTATATGTGACCTCCGGCCTCCCCTTCAGTCTTATATCTGACCTCCGGTCGTCCCCCCAGTCTTATATGTGACCTGCGTCCTTCCCTTCAGTCTTATATCTGACCTCCGGTCGTCCCCCCAGTCTTATATGTGACCTCCGTCCTTCCCTTCAGTCTTATATGTGACCTCCGGCCTCCCCTTCAGTCTTATATCTGACCTCCGGTCGTCCCCCCAGTCTTATATGTAAACTCCGGCCTCCCCTTCAGTTTTGCACAGTTGTAACGTCTCCTCTCCTAGACTGAAATTGCTTCCTCTGATTTCCCTGCACACTGGGAGCTTCTCATAATATGCATTAGAAGCCGCAGCAAGTCAGATAGAGGCCGCCTCATTTCCTGGCTGGAGGATGTGCAGCATCATCTAGCCCCCATGGTTCTTAACTGGTGGGTCGCGACTCAAAAGTGGGTTGCAGCCCTGTGTTTGGTGGGTTGCCACATGCCTTCCGCTGCGCTAGGTGAGAGGCTCCTCTGCCTCCCGCTAGGCAGCACTGTCAGTTCTTGTGCGGAGCGGCTATTCAAAATGTGCTGCCCAGTGCCGAATGTCAGCTTGAGGTGGGATGGGATGGAGCTATGGCCGCGAGGGAGCTCCATCTATTCGTGCATTGCTTACAGCTCCCTGGCGTGCCCTGTAGAGGTGCCTGGAACCCGAGCGACGTCACATACTGACTCCCGCCACCTCTACAAGACACACAAGGGAGCTTTCCAAGCAATGCACAGTGCACTGTACCACCTACCGCGCGTTGCGGTGTGGGAGGCGCGTTGCGTTGTCGTTTATTTGAATGGCACCGCCCACCCACAGTTCGATCAACCGCACCGGAACTCTCGATACCACAATGAAGTCCATTCCAGTGTGGTGCGACTTGGGTCGCGACTTAATGACCAAGGACAAATGTGGGTCCTGAGGTTACCCAGATCTGACCCTTCCCCCCCCC